CAGGACTGCTGGCAGAACCTTTAATGTCCACGCTGTCAGGAAGGAGACAGCCTGAGGGTTGAAGTGATGGTAATCACGTGCAGTGGCTGCCCGCATCGCACCCTGCCCTCCCCTCTGTAAACGGTCCCGTCCCTGACTTCATTTCCGTCAGACGTTTCTGAGTGTGCCCTTTGTTTCCCACCAAGATCCTGAGTGACACAAGGTTGGAGTGCAGAGCTGGTGGAGAGGTTTTAATTACAATTTAATGCTATCTGCCTGGAAAGCTTGTTGTGAAATATCCTGAGAATTGGCAAGGGAGAGTGAAATAATGAAATAATAAAAAAGACATTTGTATCACATTTATTCAGTAAATATTTACTGAGGGGCTTCTATGTTCCAGACAGTGCTCTTGGCACTGGGATACAGCAATTAAGAAAACAAACAAACAGCCCTAGCTGGTCTGGCCCAGAGGAACTGGAGGTTCTGTCGACTGAAGGTTCCCAGTTTTGATTCTGATCAAGGGCATATGCCTGAGCTGTGGGCTTGATTCCCAGTGTGGGGCATACAGGAGATAGCCAATCAATGATTCTCTCTCATCATTGATCTCTCTCTTTCTCTCTCTCTTCTCTCTGAAATCAATAAATATATATTAAAAAAATACACAAACAAGATATTCCTGCTTTTGCAGTATTTTTATTCTAATGAAGGAGACGGGCAAGAAACAAACAAGAAAAACATACAGTATATCAGATGGCAATAATTGCTATAAGAAAAATAAAGAAGGCTAGAGGGAGAGGAAGTTTGGAAGGGAGGGTCAAAATACATTTTTACTTATGTCAAAGAGAGAAAGGGAAAAGGAGAGAGAGAAACATCAATGATGAGAGATAATCATTAATCGACTGCTTCCTGCATGCCCCCTCGTGGGGACCGAGCCCCACCCCAGCCATGTGTCCTGACTGAAAATCGAACTGTGACCTCCTGATTCATGAGCACGCCAGGTGTACAGCAAGTCCTCACTCGATGCCATCGATAGGTTCTTGGAAACTGTGACTTAAGAGAAACGAGGTATAACAAAGCCAACATTACCGTAGGCTAACTGAGATAAACAAGAGTTAAGTTCCCAGGGCAGATTTCTAGTCACAAAGCATCAACAAAATTCTAACACTTCTAATATTAACAGCACTGAAATAAAATAAGCTGTGCATATAGTATTTAAGAAAGGTTACTATAAACAAGATAATGATTTTCCGACCCTCTTAGGCCAGGTCAGGGTGGCAGGGGTCCAGAGCCGCTCCTGGCGGCAGCTCGGGGGTGCAAGGTGGAAACCGCTCCTGACAGGGTGTCATTCTACGGCGGGGTGCATCACACACCCACGCTCGCCGAGACTGGGACAATTTAGGCACTCCCAACTCTCCTCACCTGCATGGCTTTGGGATGGGGATGGCAACCCAAGTACCCTGAGAAGACCCATGCAGACGTGGGGAAAGTGTGCAAATTCCTGCCTAAACCGGACTGAAGGGTCCCAGGTTCGATTCCGGTCAAGGGCATGTACATTTTTAAAAATATATATTTTATTGATTTTTTACAGAGAGGAAGGGAGAGAGATAGAGAGCTAGAAACGTCGATGAGAGAGAAACATCAACCAGTTACCTCTTGCATACCCCCTATTGGGGATGTGCCCGCAACCAAGGTACATGCCCTTGACCGGAATCGAACCAGGGACTTTTCAGTCCACAGACCGACGCTCTACCACTGAGCCAAACCGGTTTCGGCGGCATGTACATTGGCTGCAGGCACATCCCTGGTTGGGAGGAGGGAGGAGTGCAGGAGGCAGCTGGTCGATGTCTCTCTCATCGATGTTTCTAGCTTTCTATCCCTCTCTCTTCCTCTCTGTAAAAAAAAATCAATAAAAAAATATATTTAAAAAAAAAAGAAAGTGTGCAAATTCCACACATCAATGGCCCCCGAGAACCGATTCTACCCTCCTTCCCCGCCCCGCAACAACGTTATAAAGAACAGAGTAGAAAGAAATGACCTTACTGAGGATCACCTGTGTGTCGTTTGGCCACCTGTGTGTCTGCCGTGTCCCCTCTCAGGCCAGCAGAGGGCGCTCCAGCCCAGGGAGGGAGGCCGTGGAGCGGGCGGCTCGGGCGCTTTGGCGGGGGCGCTCTGTGGGTTCCTGCAGGGAGCAGGTGTGGCCCGCCCCCGCCCGCCGGCTGCGTAGCGTCTGGGAAGGACGCTGCTGGCCCCTGGTCCCCGGGGCTTCGGGTACCCACGGGTCCGAGGCCCGGGGTGCGGCCCCGCGTGCGGAGCGGAGAGCTGGGCTGTGCGTGAGACCGCACCCGGGACCGGGCTCAGCGTGGCCCTGGAAGTCCCCCGGAGGCTGCGTCCCCGAGCCTGGCAGGGCGGCCCTGCAGCCAGACCCCAGCCGCTCAGGCCTCTGAACCGAGGACACTGCTGTTTGCCTGCGAATATAACCCTCCTTTCCCCTCCTCCCCCCATTGCCGAGTTACCCCGAGTCCAAGGCATCCAACGCTAAGTTCTGAAATAATGTTTGCCTTAAAAAGGCCAAAGGGAGCTCACTTCACCCCCGGCACTTGCTTCACAGCATAAATATCCTGCACCCAATCGATTCCTAAAGCCACTTAGTGATGGTGTCAGCTCTAAGGAAAGGTTTCTTTTTCCTTTTTTAAAAAGATATATTTTATTGATTTTTACAGAGAGGGACAGAGCGTTAGAAACATCGATGAGAGAGAATCATCCATCAGCTGCCTCTTGCACATCACCCCCCTCCCCCCGCCACTGGGGATGTGTCCGCAACCTGGGTACATGCCCTTGACCGGAATCGAACCTGGGACCTTTCAGTCCACAAACCGACGCTCTATCCACTGAGCCAAACCGATTTCGGCAGGAAAGGTTTCTTTTTCTTTATTCCACGGAGACTGACCGAGAGGCTGACGGCTCGGCTCGGCTCGGTGATGCTCAGAGCCTGAGGGTGCCCTGGACACAAGGCGGAACGCGAGCTTGTCCTGTTCACCAATGCGCACAGGAAAATGCCAGACGTTTGGCCTTGCCTGGGGCATAGTTGAGGACAAATAAGAATAAATTGATTCCAGAAAGACTAAGGAAATGAGACCAGAAAAATTCAGCTCGCACGCCCGCTGTCGGTTTCAGCCCACCGAGGATCTCAGCGACGATGCTGCCTCCCTGTGGCAGAGCGGGGCAATGACGGCCTCCCAACCAAATATATTCTGAGCCCCTGGCTCTCTCAGGTGATCAGGAGTTTGGCTATTCTCTTAATATTGGGTTGGAATTTATTATTAGCACAATCCATGGCTCTAGAGCAAAAGCCTTCAATGGCCCTGGCTGGTAGCTCAGCTAAGGTTCGAGCGTCGTCCTGCTAGGCCAAGGCTGCCGGTTGGATCCCTCGTCCCACACAAGATCCAGGGGGACCAGGGGAAGCCAGAGGCTTCAGATTCTGAATGCAGAAATGAGTGCAACCACAAATCGTGTTCTCTCTCTGTTTCTCTCCCTCTTCCTCTCTAAAATCAATCAATAGAAATGAAAATAAAATAAAACAAAAGTCTTCAAGAATATGGCAAGAAGTTTCCCTCAGGTGTTTTGAGGGAAACACCTTGATTTTCCAACCCTCTCATGCCAGGTCAGGGTGGCAGGGGTCCAGAGCCACCCTGCCCACCTGCTTCCAGGATGGAAAGGGATTTCAGGGCTTTTTTTTTTTTTTGGATTTCAAAGCCCAGAGGCAGGGCTGTCTGTGTCGCCGGCCATTCCAGGATGAGATGCTCCTATATTGAGGAGCCTGGGGCGTCCCTGTGCTCACGTATACGCCCCTGATTGTCCTAAAGGAGTGCGGGTGGCCCCCTGCTCGCCACCCTCCCCACCGGGGACAAGGCAGCCTGTGACCCTAAGGTGACCTGGGCTCTGGGTGTTAGGCCCTTAAGACAACTTCCAGAGACTGGAAGTTACCCCTTTTCTTAGGAGGTATGTAGCTGGCCAGTGTGGCTCATTGGTAGGCAAACTAGGGCCTGGGGAACAGCCAGAAATAGTCACGTGAACTAGGGTTGGAGCCTGGTGACCAGCTTCAAGTGTTCATGTCATCAATGGGGAGGGGCCAGGTGGAGAGCCGGAAGTGCTGAGGTGACCTAGGATATGGCCTGGCCCAGGTGAACAGCGGGAGGTGCTCTGGTGGACTGGGGACCAACTGGAAGCACTGACATCATCAAGGGGGATTGGCCACGTGGAGAGTCCTAAGGGTTTGGGGCCCTGACACCTGCTGGAAGTGCTGACGTCACGAAGGGGGCGGGGCCACGTGGACAGCTGGAAGCATTCAGGTGGTTAAGGATTTGGGAGAGAGAGGTAAACATGGATGTGAGAGCAAAACATGGATCAGCTGCCTCCTACGGTACTAGGGATCAAACCCAAAACCCAGGCATGTGGCCTGACCAGGACTAGAACCAGCAAAATCTTTCTTGCATGGGACGACACCCAACCAACTGAGCCACACTGGCCAGGGCTTTTCCCTTATGATTTATGTTTCAATGGTTTTACATCCTGTTTAAGAAGTTCTTTTCTACCTCAAGGTTGTAAATATCCCCGCCTATTATTTTTTTTATCACATAGTATTTAAAAAAAATTTTTTTTTATTGATTTTTTTTTTTTTACAGAGAGAAAGGTAGAGGGATAGAGAGTTAGAAACATCCATCAGCTGCCTCCTGCACACTCCCTACTGGGGATGTGCCCGCAACCACGGTACATGCCCTTGACCGGAATCGAACCTGGGACCTTTTCAGTCTGCAGGCCGACACTCTATTCACTGAGTTTGGCTATCACATAGTATTTTAAACATTAAATCTCAGTCCCAATATAACGAAGCATTTAAAAATATTGAGGCCCAGCTGCGGACGCCATTATCCTCTGTGTCTCTGCTGCACCAGCCTCTACGTCTTGCTTACGTCCCGCTCATTTAAAGCCTATAGATCGGTGTGTCCATATCATCCAGGAAAATGGAAACTGAACAGCCAGAGGAAACCTTCCCCAACTCCAAAACCGATGGTGAATTTGGTAAACGCCCCGCAGAAGATATGGAGGAGGAAGAAGCTTTTAAAAGATCTACTGTGTTTCCCCGAAAATAAGACATCCTCCGAAAATAAGACCTACTTACAGATTTCCTTTTGAGTGAAATATAAGGCATCCCCCCCGAAAATAAGGCCTCCCTAGGCTAAACATGAGAGATTTGGTCCACTGGTTCTGAAAGAAATGGAGTCACAAGAAATTCGCCAGGAAATTCAGGAATTGGATTGTTATGATGATGTTCCAGAAGATGATGACATGGTTGTCATTGAATAAATGAGTAAAATCTTGATACTGTAGGATTCACAGTTTGTCTGGTTTGTGTTGACAACTACTGTACTACCGAACCGTATACAGGTAATAAATTTCCTTTATTTTCATTTAACAATAAATATGTACCGTATTCTTCTTCATGGAAAAATAAGATATCCCCTGAAGATAAGACCTAGTGCATCTTTGGGAGCAAAAATTAATATAAGACACTGTCTTATTTTTGGGGAAACAGGGTAGGAGCACTGATGAGGTGGTTGGATTACTCATTCTGCTTCAGAGCAAGAACGCGGGGGCAGTGATTGGAAAAGGAGGCAAGCATATTAAGGCCCTGCGTACAGACCACAACGCCAGTGTTTCAGTCCCAGACAGCAGTGGCCCCGAGCGCATATTGAGTATCAGTGCCGATACTGAAACAATTGGAGAAATTCTGAAGGAAATCATCCCTACCTTGGAAGAGGACCTGCGGTTGCCGGCACCCACCGCGACCAGCCAGCTCCCGCTGACTCTGACGCTGTGGAATGCTTCTATGGCCAACACTACAAAGGAAGCGACGTTGACTGTGAATGGAGACTGTTGATTCATCAGAGTCTGGCAGGAGGGATTATTGGGGTCAAAGGTGCTACAATCAAAGAACTCCTTGAGAGAACACTCAGACAACAATCACGCTTTTCCAGGAATGCTGTCCTCATCCCGCTGACAAGAGTCGTTCTTATCGGAGGGAAAGCTGATAGGGTTGTAGAGTGCAGGAAGACCGTCCTTGATCCTATATCAGAGTCTCCCTTCAAAGGACGTGCACAGCCTCATGATCCCAACTTCTATGAGGAGACTTACGATTACGGTGGCTTTACCATGACTCCTGGTGACCGCCGTGGCCTCCTGTGGGGTTTCCCGTGCGGGGAAGAGGGTTTTTAAAAATATTTATTTTATTGATTTTTTACAGAGAGGAAGGGAGAGAAATAGAGAGCTAGAAACGTCGATGAGAGAGAAACATCGACCAGCTGCCTCTTGCACACCCCCTACTGGGAATGTGCCCGCAACCAAGGTACATGCCCTTGACCGGAATCCAACCCGGGACCCGATGCTCTATCCACTGAGCCAAACCGGTTTCAGCAAGAGGTGGTTCTGACAGAATGCCTCCTGGTCGGGGTGGGCGTCCCATGCCTCCATCTAGAAGAGATTATGATGATGGGAGCCCTCGGCGGCGAGGACCTCCTCCCCCTCCTCCCCCTCCCCCCTCCCCCCCTTCTCCCCCTCCTCCCCCTCCTCCCCCTCCCCCCCTCCCCCCTCTCCTCCCCCTCCTCCCCCTCATCCTGGACAAGGTGGCCGGGTGGTCGCAGAGCTCACAATCTCCCTCTTCCTCCACCACCACCGCCGAGAGGAGGGTAAGTTTCTTTTCATCTGTATGTTTCTGACATGCAAGAGGCTGCCGTTTAGGGGGTGAGCGGGGTTAGGTGTTGGGTTTTTTTTTTTTTTTTTTTCATTTGACGTGTGTGATGCTAATAAGCTGAGATTACAACCAGTACCGTGTTTGCAGGGCTCTCATGGCCTCTGACGGGAGAGGAAGACCTGGAGATGCTGTGATGGCATGGTGGCTGTCAGTGCTGATGGCGCTTGGGACTCTGCAATAGACACGTGGAGCCCTTCAGAATGGCAGGTGGCTTAGGAACCACAGGGTGGCTCTGGGTGTGATTATTCCTGTGCAGGGGTCGTGGCTCCTATGGTGACCTTGGTGGACCTATTATTACAAGTGACTATTCCCAAAGATTTGGCTGGGTCTATCATGGGCAAAGGTGGTCAGAGGATTAAGCACATTCGTCCTGATTCAGGAGCCTCGATCAAATTTGATGAGCCTTTAGAAGGGTCCGAAGATCGGATTGTTACCATTACAGGAACTCAGGATCAGAGACAGAAGGCACAGTGTTTGCCCCAGAACAGTGTGCAGCAGTATCCGGGAAGTTTTTCTAAGACCAGGGAAGGTCTGAAGGAGTCCTGCATCTTTAAAAAAAATTTTTTTTTATCTGCTTCTGTTTAAAAAGCCAACATTCCTCAGCTTCACAGGTGTTCTGCATTTGAGGTGTAGTGAAATCTTTGCTGTTCACCAGATGTAATGTTTTAGTTCCTTACAAACGGGGGTGGGGTGGGGTGGAGGGTGGGGGTGTGTGTGTGTGCAAAAACTAACATTGAAATTTTGAAACAGCAGCAGAGTGAGTGAATTTTAATTTTTGTTCATTGTTGGTGGTTAGAAAATTCCCCCTATGTAATTATTGTGAACACTTTGCTTTGTGGTCACTGTAACATTGGGGGGGAGGGTGGGACAGGGAGGAAAAGTAATAATAGTCCATATGTCCCTGGCAGCTATTCAGAGCAGTGTGCAGAATGTAATGCTCTTTTGTAAGAAACGTTTTATGATTTTTAAAATAAATTTAGTGAACCTATTTTTGGTGGTCATTTTTTTTTTAAGATGGTCATTTTTCAAATGGCTGAATACTCCAACCTACCCCCAACTAAACACTAAGTTTGATTTTCAGCTCCTCTGTTGGACTTGGACTTAGGCAAAAAAAATAATCTTTGCAAATTCAGTTCTGGTGATTTCTGGATGGTTTGAACGTCCATTGCTTGAGAAGAAATTCTATCATACGCACTCAAGCTTATAATCAGCTGGGGATTTTGTTTTTGTAAATGCTTACCCCTACTTTGCAACAGTTTCCTATTTAGTAATTATGAAGAACCAAGGTGGGGAGCAGTACTAAAAATTAAGTAATGGCATAAATGTATACCAGGAGCCTGGTAGCAAGTTTTATTAATTGGAGTAATACTTGGTTATGGAAGTGACTGATGCTAAATAAATTCTGATTATTTTTTATTAGATAATTTCTTATCAACAAATTTAAACTGTCAGCCTGCTTAGTGTTTATTAGTTAAACCTTGTAAAAAATATATATATTCTTGTTTTTCCATTGTATGCAAAGTGAAAGAAAAAGATGTACCATTTCTTTGTTGTATGTTGGATTATGTAGGAAATGTTTGTGAACAATTCAAAAAAAAAAAAAAAAAAAAGGGAAAAAAAGTTCCTGTGGATGTTTTGTGTAGTATCTTGACGTTTGTATTAATAATAGTTAAGTTCACTTCCGAATAAAACTCCCATAATGCTAGATTTGATGTGTGCCCAATTTGAGCAAGGGTTGATTGACACCTGTAAAATTAGTTAAACTGTTCCTCTTGTAAGGAAATATAGTAATCTTAAATTACTATATATATATATATATATATATAGAGAGAGAGAGAGAGAGAGAGAGAGAGAGAGGCCCTGATAATGTTATTTTTATTGATTTCAGAGGGGAAGAAATAGAAGAGAGAGAAAGAGAAACATCAGTGATTAGAGGAAATCAATGATTGGCTGCCTCCTGCATGCCCCTACTGGGGATCAAGCATGCAACCCAGGCATGTGCCCTTAACTGGAATCGAACTCAGGATCCTTCAGTCTTCAGACAGCTCTCTCTCTCCACTGAGCCAAACCGGTTAGGGCAACAATTAGAACTTTTTTCTTTTTAAAAAAATATGTTTTATTAATTTTTTTTTTTTTTTTTTTTTTTTTTTTTTTTTTTTTTTTTTTTTTTTTTACAGAGAGGAAGGAAGAGGGATAGAGCTAGAGAGCTAGAAACATCGATCAGCTGCCTCCTGCACACCCCCTACTGGGGATGTGCCCACAACCAAGGTACATCCCGTTGACTGGAATTGAGCCTGGGACCCTTCAGTCTGCAGACCGAGCCAAACTGGTTTCGGCAACAATTAGAACTTTTAAGAAAAATAAAAAAGTGAGTGACAAAGGGCCCTAGCCCGTTTGGCTCAGTGGATAGCATGTGAATCTGCAGACCAAATGGTCCTGGGTTTGCTTCCGGTCAAGGGTTGCAGACTCCTTCCCAGCCAGCCCCCTGATCAGGGCTAGTGCAGGAGGCAACCAACAGATGTGTTACTTTGGCATCAATGCTTCTGTCTGGCCCTCTCTCTTCTATTCGCCCTGAAAATCAACGGAAAAATATCCTCAGTTCAGGATTAACAAACAAAAAAACACAGAAAGAAAGAAAGGAAGAAAGAAAGAAGGAAGGAAGGAGGGGAGGGAAAGAAAGGGAAAAAAAAGAAAGGAAGGAAGAAAGAGAGAGAGAGAAAGTAAAGCAGTACTCTACTCTGCAGTGAACATTTACATGGTCATAATAATGTAAATTCTGATCATGATCCAATTATAGTGGTATAACTATATTTTAGGATAGAGTGATAGGAGAGGAGGGTTGGTGTCTTTCCTTTTTTTAATGCTATACAGTCAGTTGGTACTGTTTAAAATAGATAAAGAAACAGAGATATGAACAAAGTATCCTATATAATAAAAGGTTAATATGCAAATCAACCAAAGAGCAGACCGGCTGGTCACTCTGACATGCACTGACCACCAGGGGGCAGACACTCCGCTCAGCTAGAAGCAGGCTCAGGGCTGGCGAGCACCACGGCAGTGGTGGGAGCCTCTGCCGCCCCACGCAGCAGTCAGACACCCCCTGAGGGGCCCAGATTGTGAGAGGGCACAGGCCGGGCTAAGGGACTCCCCTCCCAGTGTACAGGCCTCTGTCTATACATATAGCAATATTGTAGAAGTAGTAGCTTTGAGATAAAAGTTGCAGTAAATGGATACTCTTCAGAATAAGCCTTTATATAACTACTATTGGTCCAAGGCACGAAATTCCTGCGTGGGGGGAGGGGTGTCCCTCAGCCTGGCCTGCACCCTCTCCAATATGAGATCTCCTCGGGAGATGTCCAACTGGCAGTCGGCCATCCCTCTCACAATCTGGGACTGCTGGCTCCTAACTGTGCACCTGCCTGATCGCCACTAACCACTCTGCCTGCCGGCCTGCTTGCCCATAACTGCCCCCTCCAGCCTGAAAGCCTCCAACTGCCTGCCCCCCCCCCCCATTGCTGGCTTGCTTTCCCCCAATTGTCCCCCCTTTCCGCCAGCCTGACCACCCCACTGCCCCCCCTTGCCAGCCTGCTCACCCCTAACCACCTCTGCCTCCGTCCCACCACCATGGCTTTGACCAGAAGGACTTCTGGAAGGTCTCCCGGTCTAATTAGCATATTACCCTTTTATTAGTATAGATATAAACTATATAAATAAACAGTACGTATTATTTTTTGTTTGTGTTTTGAATCACACATCTTACAGAAAGAAGAAAGAACAGGAAGGCAGACAAGGAGAGTGACTACTTATTCTCTGATGGCACAAATAACAGACGGTATGCCTGCTCAAGACAGGACTTGCGGTAAATACCAGGCATGCAAGCGTGGCAGGATAATTTAGTGAGATGCAAAGTTTTATCTGTTCTGTGTACGAGTATCTTTTCTCTTTATTTTTTATTTTTTTATTTTAAAATATATTTTATTGATTTTTTTACAGAGAGGGAGGGAAAAAGAGAGCTAGAAACATCGATGAGAGAGAGTCATCGATCAGCTGCCTCCTGCACACCTCCTACTGGGAATGTGCCCGCAACCAAGGTACATGCCCTTGACCAGAATCGAACCCGGGACCCTTCAGTCCACAGGCTGACGCTCTATCCACTGAGCCAAACCGGTTTTGACGAGTGTCTTTTCTCTTTAAAACAAGCAAGGGTTTTGGCAGGGCCGAGAGAAGAGGCATCCTGATGTCAAAGGCCCTTTTATCTTCATAAAAGTCAAAAGCAAGTCTGGGAAGAGGTTATGCCCTGAAGAGGCTGGACTCAGGGAGGGTTCTGGAGATTTTTTAAGACAGCGGAGGGGATGGGAAGGCCAGTCAGCCAGGGCTCTGGGATCTATCTGGGGAAACTACGTCCAAGGCCAGGCAGTGGTTTTCATAACCGAATTCCTGTATCTAAAAAAACAAACAAAACCAAAAAAAAAAGGAGCTAAGGGCTTGGGAGTCCAGGACCTGGAGAGCCAGACCTGCTGGAACCCCAGGGAGCACAGCGTTCGCCGGTGAGGTGGACGTCCCGTGAGCGGCTGGGGAGGGGCAGTGAGAAGCCGCTCCGGTGGCTTGTCTCTGGGATTCGGCAGGCCCCGGGGAGACGGGATCTATTTCCCATCAGCGCTCCGGCCAGGGGGTGGGAGTGGGAATCAAGTTCGTTGGAAGAACATTTAAAAAAGCAGTCGCTCTTGCACATCTGTGTTTGTCGACTGTGATCACACCCGCTGCCTGAGGACAGGCAGGGAGGACCCCTGCCTTCGCCTGCCTCAGCAGACACCGCAAAACTTGGTGGTAAGTGGTGAGCGCGGTGGCTCAGGCTCAGGGGGAAGGAGAAGGTGGTGGGACAGCCACCTCCAGCTTCTTGCCCCTTTCTTAAAAACAAATAAATAAATAAATAAATAAATAAAAAATATGGATCTTTAAAAAAAAAAATCCTCACCCAAGGATATGTTTTCATTAATTTCAGAAAGAGAGGGAGGTGGAGGGAGGGAGAGAGGGAGAGGAAGAAACACTTAGCAGTTGCCTCTCCTATGTATGCCCTGCAACCTGGTTCTTTTCCCAGACCGGAAACGGAACTCAGGACCCTTTGTTGTAGGGGACATCGCTCCAACGAACGGAGCTGTTAGGCCAGAGCACTGGCCCCTTTCTCAAGCCCTGTGCCCTTCTTTCCCTCACGTCCGGCCCCTCCCCTCTGATGGTCCTCCCTCTCCCACACCTGGCGTCACAGGGAATGAGAGAGTCTTTTCTCTGGGGAAGAGCAGGTAGAGGAGAGCCAGGCAGGTGCCTTCTGGGAGGGGAGCCTAGATTTACATCCGGATCCTGGGTTTCAAATGCCTGCCCTCGGAGACTAGTCCTGGGTGTGGACTGATGGAAGGGGATCAGAAGGGAAGGGGAGGAGACTTTCCCAACAGGAAGGAATCGGAGGGAGTCCAGAAGCCCAGATGGGAATAGTGAGCGCACAGCCGCAGTAAACAAAGAGGAGAGGACAGGGAGCCCGCCTCACTGATGGGGGCAGAGGGGAGTCCTTTTGGGTTTGGGGGTTTGGGGGTTTGGGAGAGGGAATGCTGGGACTCTGCTTAGGATAGATCTCAGTAGACCTGTGTTGTCAGTGGGCCCAGGTGCCAGCCTCCCTCCCAGGAACCCTCCCAGAAGGTACTTGGGAGTTTGTGAGCCAAAGGGGGCAGTCTCAGAAGGGGAGTGGGGAGGGGGGAGTGAGAGAATGCTGCATGTAATCAGGGAAGGGATCTCTGCAGGCTCTCTATCTTTCGTTGAGAGGAATTTCTCAGAGACCAGGAGCAGCCCAGGTCCCACCCTACCCGTCCCCTTCCCTCCTACTGCCCACAGGTCTGGGCACCTGGGCCAGGGGCAACTCCGGGGTGAGGACGTACCATTCACCAGCCTGAGCTCCTGACGCCCCCTTAGTGACACCGGCTTCCCCAGGGACACAAACGTGCAGGAACAGATACCTGGGCGGGAAGCTGGAGCAGCTTTTTATTCAGCTTATACGTCATATTTACAAGGAAGAGGTGGGTGCAGTGGGGAGCAGGGTCAGGTCCAGGGTCCTGGCTGACCATTCCTCAGAGGGGACAGTCCTGCTGCCTCCTCTCACTCTGCCTCCTCTGCCTCTCTGGGCCTGGCCTGGGGCGGGCAGCTCAGCCCTGCAGGCGGGCGGGGGCTACAAGTACAGAAGGGAGAGCTGAAGCAGGAGAAGGGCTGAGGCAAGGCCAGCGTGGGGGCAGAAGCACTGCTCTGGGGCCCCTGAGTCCTCCCTGTCGTCCAGTCCTCTTCTCGTCCCTTGGGTCGGAGCTCCGAATCCTGGTGCGGCTGATGGGGGCTCCCTGGGCTCCAGGCCGGGCACTGGGCTATGGCTTTTGGGGGGTCTCGGGGGTCTGGGGGGTCTGGGAAGTCTGGGGGGCCTGGGAGGTCTGGGGGGTCTGGGGGATTCGGGGGGTCTGCGGCTCTTCAGTCCTGGAAAGGGAGAAGAGGGGCTTGAAGGACTGACAGAGGCTCTTCTTCACTCCCCTCACCCCCAGTCCCTTCAGCTTCCTTACCTCTTAGGGCCTTTGGAGCTCTTTCTCTTCTCGCCAGACTTGTCCTTCTTGTGGCGTGGTTTCCGTGGTTTCTGAGGGGCAGGTGGTGCGTCCAGACGCTGCATCAGCCTCTGCACCCAGGTCTCCTTCGGGTCGGCGCACAGCTCCGCCTGAGAGCGCTTCCGAGGTGAGAACCTGGAGACGGGCATTCGCAAGCCTGTCCTCACCTCGCCCGCCTCGCCCAGCCCGCCCAGCTTCGCCCACACCCTGGCACCCAACTCACAGGATAGCCGGGATGGGGCAGCCCAGGCTCGGCTCCTGCTTCCTGTAGCCTTTAACAAGGTGGCCAGGAATCTTCTTCACGCTGTACCTGAGACAGCAGTCCTGTGCCCCTCCATCGCTGCCTGCAGAGGGCGGTCACAGGGCGCCGGGGGCTGCTTACAGGCTCCCAACCAGGCCTCTCCAGCCCCTCTCCCCATCCATCCCAGGCGGCCCCTTCCCTGATACCTTGGGCCCAGGGGATGCAGAAGGCCAGGACCAGGAAAAGGAGGCTCAGAGGCAGCGACTGAGCCATGGCTGTGGCGGAGGGTGAGTAGAAGGCCACAGCTGTGGGTGAGGTGTCAGCTGCAGTTGGGGGTCCTGGAGAGGGCAGGCCTTTTATGCAGAACTTTCTTCGGAGGGGGGGTCGGGGGGGGGGACGGGACCAGGATATGAACTATTCTCTCGATACGCATGCCTCTCCTGATCTAGGCTGGTACAAAGGTTATTCCTCAGCAATTTTTTTTTTTTATTGTTTAAAGTATTACATATGTCTCATTCCCAGCCTCACCCTAACCCTGCCCCACCACTCCCACCCCCTAGGACAAGCCCCCAGGGTCCGTGTCCATTGTTTACGCGAATATTCATGCATACACGTTCTCTGGTTGCTCTCTTACCCTTCTCCTGCCGTCTCTCTGAGGTTGGATCTATTTCTGTCCATCAGTTTATGTTGTTCATTATATCCCACATATGAGTGAGATCATGTGATATTTATCTTTCTCCGACTGGCTTGTTTTGCTTAGCATAATGCTCTCCAGGTCCATCCATGCTGTTGCAAATGGTAGTAAAAGTTCCTTCTTTTTTATAGTGGTGTAGTATTCCATTGTGTATCGACCACAGGTTTTTAATCCACTCATCTGCTGATGGGCACTTAGGCTATTTCCTTGTAAATTGTGCTGCTATGAATATAGGGGTGCACATGTCCTTTCTAATTGATGTTTCTGGCTTTGGGGGATATATTCCTACAAGTGGGATCTCTGGGTTGAATAGGAGTTCCATTTTTAATTTTTTGAGAAAACTCCTTACTGCTTTCCACAGGGGCTGCATCAGTTTGCATTCCCACCAGCAGTGTACAAGGGTTCCTTTTTCTCCGCATCCTCGCCAGCACTTGTTGATTTGTTGAGGATAGCCATTCTGACAGGTGTGAGGTGGTACCTCATTGTTGTTTTGATTTGCATCTCTCGGATGATTACTGACTTTGAGCATGTTTTCACATGTCTTTTGGCTTTCTGTATATCCTCTTTCGAAAAGTGTCTATCTAGGTCCTTTGCCCATTTTTTGATTGCATTGTTTATCTTCCTTTTGTTAAGTTGCATGAGTTCCCTGTAGATTTTGGAGATTAAACCCTCATCTGAGAAAGCATTGGCAAATATGTTCTCCCATGCAGTGGGCTTTCTTGTTTTGTTGGTGGTTTCTTTGTTGATGGTTTTGTTGATGGTGCAGAAGCTTTCTATTTTGATGTAGTCCCATTTGTTTATTTTCTCCTTGATTGTTCCTAGGGCAATGGAAAAAATATATATTTATATGATTAAATAAAACAAGAAAGAGGGAAAACAGGTCTATCACATCTTTTCATTTGTGCAGAAAATGTATCAGTTTATTTATGTGTCCTTTGCTAAGTTAATTTGAAAGATACATGGGGAAACAAAGGGGGAGACAAGGGTGGGAAAGAGGCATAGTACATGCTTTTTAAAAAAGTATATTTATGTCGTTATTATAAAGTGTGTGTGTGGGGGGAGTCCCTCAGCCCAGCCTGCACCCTCTCGAAGTCGGGGACCCCTCAGGTGGTGTCTGCCTTTCGGCTTAGGCCTGCTCTCCAGTTGGGGGCTGTTTGGGCTGAGTGGGTTTAGGGGCTCTCGCAGTCTGGGACCCCTTGCTCCTTACCACCTGACTGCAGCGGGGGTGGGAGAGACTCCCATCACTGCCACGTGCTCGCCAGCCATGAGCCCGGCTTCTGGCTGAGCGGCGCTCCCCCTGTGAGAGCGCACTGACCACCAGGGGCAGCTCCTGTGATGAGCATCTGCTCCCTGTGGTCAGTGTGCATCATAGCGACCGGTCATTCCGGTCCTTCTGCCGTAAAGGTCGCTTTGGCTTTTATAAACTAGATTATGTTTGGTGATTGAAGTCAAGTAAATGCACTGGCCCTTCATGCAGAGGCCTCACCTCTTCCTCCAGTCTTTCTTACAAGCCCTCTCCAATCCACCCGCTTAATTGTCTGGTAAAAACAGACTGCCTGCCGAAACCGGTTTGGCTCAGTGGATAGAGCATCGGCTTGCAGACTGAAGGGTCCCGGGTTCAATTCTGGTCAAGGGCATGAACATGGGTTGCGGGCACATCCTCATTCGGAGATGTGCAGAGGCAGCTGAGTCGATGTTTCTCTCATCGATGTTTCTAACTATCTGTCCTCCTCTCTTTCTCTCTGTGAAAAATCAATAAAATATATATTTTTTTTAAAAAACAGACAAAAACCAACAGACTGCCTTTCCTACTGCCAAATGTTTTTTGTTTTTTTAAAAATATATTTTATTGATTTTTCACAGAGAGGAAGGAAGAGGGATAGAGAGTTAGAAACATCGATGAGAGAGATACATTGACCAGCTGCCTCCTGCACACCCCCCACCGGGGATGTGCCCGTAACCAATGTACATGCCCTTGACCGGAATCGAACCTGGGACCTTTCGGTCCGCAGACCAATGCTCTATCCACTGAGCCAAACTGGTTTCAGCCCTACTGCCAAATGTTAAGTGCGCTGTTAAGTGCATGTTGACGAGTTTCTCTCTCCCACCTGGACTATGCCTCTTTGTAGAGGGAAGTGACACTTTCCGTTAAGGGTCACAACCTAATTGTTGCTCATGGAGGTTGTCCCTCTCCCTCAAGAGACGCTTGTGTCCCTAAACACTCAATTTTCTGGGACCGATGGCCAGACAGTAGTCGTGAAGGAGAGCGCCGAGCCGTCAGGCTGGTGTCGGTGTGGAGAATGAAGAGAACGTGGGCGCTCAGACACTGCCTGTGAGCCGGCATGTTTAGCCTCTGGCTCTGTAACCTTTACAAACCGGACAACCTGAGGTCCTCATGGACAGACTGAATCACCACACAAGCTTCCCTAGGACGTACGCTCTTCGAGGCTGCCCCGGCCCAGTGGAACAGAAGGGCTTTGTGATGCAATCTGCTGACTGGGTTCTATGCTCTGTGAGGCGGAGATGATAAGGCAGAGCACGGGGAATCATTAGACAGGAGGATCCTGAACGCCTAGATAGAGGGATGGCTCCTCCCCTCATGTGAAAGTCATGTTGAGCTTTACTTATGATCTTCAGAATGTTGGAAATTTCTTATATACATATGGCGCCATCTTCCTTATTATCCTAATTACCTGGCAAGTGAAAAGGAGTTACTTTGGGTTAAGGATGGAATCTAAAAGGAGCTGCTACCAGGTAAGGAAATAGTAACACCGTAATTGAACTAGTTAAGTTTTAGATAAGAAGCTTTTTAAGATCTCAGAACTTCCTTCTACCTTTCTTGCCAATTAAAAAAAAAAAAAAAAAAAATATATATATATATATATATATATATATATATATATTGTTGATTTTTTACAGAGAGGAAGGGAGAGGGATAGAGAGTTAGAAACATCGATGAGAGAGAGACATTGACCAGCTGCCTCCTGCACACTCCCTACTGGGGATGTGCCCGCAACCAAGGTACATGCCCTTGACTGAAATCGAACCTGGAACCTTTCCATCCTCAGGATGATGCTCTATCCACTGAGCCAAACCAGTTTCAGCTCTTGCCAATTCTTATACTATACATTCAGTTACTCCAATATGGTGCTTTTCTCAGAGCCTAGACGTAATTTCCTACTAAGCCTTCACCTTTTAATTCATTTCACTATCCCTCCTGTGTCACGCTTAGCCCTCTAAAGAACCTGTCCTAACCTTTCTCAGGAAGTAAGGAATGTGGAGACTCTTGAGCTGAGAAATAAGTAGGAAAGTGAAATATTGGGGTGAAAGGGTGGAGTAGAGGCAGGGAATGTGAGTGCATTAAATACATAGACAGGATTTTGGAAATTTATATTCATTCGTTCTGACTCATTTTGGACATAAAAAATGAAGTGTCCCTCACACTCACTTTTTTCTCTTTAAGTGTCAACAAAAGCTCAGGCAAAAGGCTAGAGATGCAGCATCCAGAGGTAAAGTACCAGTCTCTTCTCTGACTCCCTTTCCTGCGGATGGGGTTTCCATGGGTTTTGTCCCTCTTTGATCTCTGGTGCTTGGGACAGGTTCTCTAAACACTGTGGAGAGTGGGAGCTGGTGAGTGGGAGCTATATGTTTGATGGATTGAATATGGGACTCTGCAATAGTGGACAGAGTCCCCTAAATCAAGGAATTGCTCCAGTTCCACAAGTTGACACATTCTCCCACCTAAGTCATTTACTAGTTTTATGACCCTGTGTGAGTCACTTCATTTTTCAGTCCTTGGTTCATTAAATGCCCATTTGAAGATTTTGCTTCGCTTACAGTGTGGCCATGACCCTCTAAATGAGATTAGGTCCTGGACAACTCATTGTAACTGGCTAAGTTTTATACAGACGTGCCTTAGAGCACTGGCTGTTGGGATTTCCAGTCTTCAGATTCCTATAGTATGCCCTCAATCCTCTCGTTCCATGTAACACTGTCTCCTGGGTTTTCAGCTAGGAGACATTTATGGAAAGAAACGGAGACGCCGTGGGAGCTGCTTTCTGTCATGAAAAGGTGATTGTTTGCTCTTTGTAGTCTTCCAACTCCAGCCTGGACTGCTTGGCCTGGGACAGGGGTGAGGGCTGACGACTGGGATGGAGTCAGACACCGCGGAGGCTGGAGCACTGGTTGAGAGGGTTGCCAGGGCAAAGGGGGCTCAGACATCTCAGGAGGGAGGAGTCCCCAGTTCTGCTTTGGGCTATGCTTTGGGAATCCAAAATTTGACTAGTGTTTAATTCACAAAAGATCCTAAAGGGATTGATATTCAGCCAAAAGACCAGTTATCCAGCTAAGAGAATGGATAAATCAACATACATAAGTCATCACTGTCACATTCCTCTTACAGCTCCACTCTTTCAAGGGCAGAACCCTACACCTTGCTGACTTAAGCTCCTCTGGTTGTGTCTTCAGGAAGCCCAGTTCCCGAGACAGCCCCCAGGCAGGAGCTTATCATCTCATCCTCTTCTTAAGATCTCTAGCCTGTTAACCGAGCGGGACGTATAAATACGTCAAATGTAAACAA